GACATGTTGAAAATTTTCCGCCACATATTGCCTCACTCTCATCCATTCATCCACTTTCTCTCTATCTCTTAGCGAGATTCCCTGTCATGTCAATAACACTACAATGATTTGTGCAACCGATGTGAGATAGGGCTAGAGTTTGTGTGTTTTTTTATCCTCTGGTTAATTAAATCGACAAATGCCATTTGAACGATTGAGGCAAAATTGCACTAATTTCCCATCGTCCGGCACAACATGTCAATCAAATGAGATTCGCGTGCATTGACCAAAATGAAACCAGTAATTAGCTATGGAGAGACAGCCGAGGAGTGTCAAGACATACACAGGATACGATGATACATATGATAGTGGCAACGAAACTCCACTTTTAGATGAATTGCCCAATTGGTTTGTTTATACGCAATCAAAGAAAAAACACACACGGGCTCGTGTTTGTCTGCTTAAAAAGATGTCAAGAAACTTGAGCCATTGACGTGAGTAATGTCCGCCCTTCATTTCCACTCAAATCACATATTGAATCGGATTGCTGATTTATACATTACTGTGTAGTGTATTTGCGGCATCATGCATCGACACACAGACGAAAGGTGAATGAAGTGGTTGACAGCCGTCAAACGCACACATACACACATTTATATGAGAGCTCGTGTGTTCGATTACTTGTTGGTTGCGAAGAGATTGTGTGACGTTAGTCGCACATTTATCCAATCAAAATTATTTCACATTAATCATCATTATCTCACAATATGTATTAGTATATACTGAATACAGTACATTCGATATAGCTGCAAAAATACCTAGAACGTTTCATCGAAGTTCGCTTCGAAACTCTTGTCAATGTTATTCTTTCACTCGTATTTTTAATTCAATCAATTAGAAGTATTCATCTGCCCTTTATATATAGAATATCGCAATCGAACGGCTTCATCAGTCGTTTTCATTTCTTTTTTTACGGTTCACATTTTGATGATGATCTTGATTTCCCCGTACGTCATACCATTCGCAAAGCAACACAATTCAACCATATTTTTCGGGCATCTATAAATAAACAACATGCAACAAAAATTACATCGTCTTTTTAATAGAAACAGTGAATATTTTCGAGACCTGTCGATCTGATTTTCGACCATTGACCAAGCAGAAATGTTGGAATTTCTTTCAAATACCAGCCCCTCTTGGTCTATAGATAAATACAGCTACTTCAATCAATGCTCTCTCCATGGATTTTGATTCATTACTTTTCATCGATTTGAAACGATTGCAATTACACCGGATCAAAGGAATAAACCGAATGGAATGAGGAACGACTAACATTTTAACGATACCCAGATTTCACATTCAATAAAGCTTAAGCTCCATTCCTCAATCTGTTTGCATACAGCCAGCCATGCATGCCTTTCGGCATTTTTAATCTACTCTTAAAGTCATCGCATGAACGATTTTTCAGGAATTTGAAGTAAATTAACATTTAGCTACATGAAATAATTGCACTTCATTAGAGCTTTTGTATGCGCAGATTTTTTGTTCAAAAAGTCTTCTTTGCTCTCGTTTTCGATAAGCTTTTGTGTGCCTTTTTGTGCTCTAGTATATAATAACAGTATATATTTCAGGATATATCCGGATATTGAAAAATATATGCAAAAAAAATCATTTAAGCTAATCAAAAATGGCAATCAATTATTCTTCGAAAATTTTAAACCTACATCTTTACCTACATTTTCCTTAGAATTGAGTGGAAATTAGTTTACTCGTGGATATTCGTGGATTCCGGAAATTTTGTTTGTAAACAACGTGGGAAAAAGTCTTGAAAACACCACTGAATAATCGACATTATTCGTTGGTCTCAATTCAAAATGCCACAAAAAACACAAGCGAGCTTGGTGATTCGTTTTTTTTCTACTCAATGCGACATTGTCAACACAGATGAAACTATGGATAGAAAAACATTACAAACAGATTTGTGTATCATTTTCTGTGAAAAATATTGGATTTACACGAGAAAAAAAAATCGAAACAAAGATAAAAACGCCCGAATTATTTGAGAAATTTCAAATTAAAGTGAATCGAAACTGTATGCAAATGAACGTATCCAAACCATCAACGTTTATCGACAATCGATAGTTCGTTGAAAAGTAGCCGTAATCCGATGGCGTTAAGGCAAAAAGTATCAAAATTTTGATGCGAAAAAAGGATCGAACCAAACCGAACCAAACCAAACTAAAAAAAAAACCCAACTTCAGCAAAAAAGAGCGAGCAAATGAATACGTATTAAATTACGTATGTATATATCTATTTATTTCAGCAGCATTTTTTTTTGTGTTGCATCGTCATTGTGCCGAAGTGCACGAATTGGAATGTACTTCATCAGCAATAGAATTGTTTACTTATTCAATTTGTCAAATGAAATTGGAACAAAAAAGGGATATGTCACGTGAAACAGAAATGAAAACCAACAAGAGATAGAATTCAATGTTGTATCTCCGTAAGAGACACGCGTACAATGCAACTATATACAAATGTGCGTGGTGAGCATGTGTAAAAAGTAAAGTGCCTTTAAAATGCTAAACTTTTTTGCCTGTCAATTTGGTTTTTCATTCGTTAGCCCCATGGATTACGAATACCACACACAAACACATACACATGTACAATAAAAAGGTAGTGAGGCAGAGCAGGTTTGTTCATTTGTCCGTTTGTCCATCACAATGAATTGGATATTATCTGTATAAGTGTACGATTGGTGTGTTTGTATTTGATGAGTGCCCGTATTTTTCTTTCTCTCTAGGTAGGTTAGCCTCTTCGTGACACCAACACACATACGTACACACACATACACATAGAGATGCTCGATAGATAAAGCGAGCCAACCGAGCGAAAGTTTGGGATTGAGCAACAAACACTACAATCACATCCACACAAGTGAACCGCACACAAATCATAAATTTTAACCTTTATTGCTTTGACTGCGACATAATAAAGTGTAAAAAGCGCACCGAATCATACACAAACAAAAAAGAGGCATCAAATATAGAGAGACGCAAGAGGGGACGCGCGAATGTTGTGAATAAGAAGAAAAATCATTGGGAGGCAAAAAGAGAAAGCCTTCGCCAAATTATGTAGCTGTGTATGTCATCTACATCTACTGTTCAGCATTGCGTAAACAATCCAATTGAGCGCTTATCACACTGATCGTAAAATTTAAAATAGTCATTAGAATTACTCAATTGACGAACAAAAGCCCACCGCCCAATAATAATAATCATAATACGGAATAAATGTTGAAAAATCTCTGTGTTTGTGTATGAGTATAAAAGACGATTTGAGATTGTTAAAATCAAATGCGAGAGCCATAGCTGCGTGTCGTACATGTGTGAAATGGCATGAAATACGTGTTGCCATTGTTACTGTGTGTGGACCGTCAATTCGAAAAAAAATTCTCCCCACTTTTATTGATATAAACGTTTGTTGCCGCTTTTTTCCATTCCTATTGGCTTTTGTTATCATTTCTCTGCGCTCAACTCTCTCTCTATCTCTCTCTTCCTCTCTCCCTCTCTCCCTCTCTCCCTCTCTCCCTCTCTCCCTCTCTCCCTCTCTCCCTCTCTTCCTCTCCGCAAACGCTGGTATTTGGTTGACGCCTGTGTCTGCTACATCATTAAAACGACTCTTTTACTTTGCAAGACGGTGATATTTTTTCTACTTGGTTGTACAGAATCCGCGCCCGATTCTATCAATCATACATATGGCGATAGATTCATTTCGATCGAACGCACAAAAATTCCTTTACACCTCAACGAATCAAACACAATTGCATATCGATGATTATTTTCAAGGTGTTTCCGACATTCTGCATCGTGTCACAATTATCATATGAGTAGCAATGGAAAGTACTTGAAATTCTGTCGTATCCCCCTTCTCTGGCTCTTTCTCTTACTTTTGAATTGAATTCTCAATCGTTTTTAGTAGAAGATGGGAGAGAGGAATAGGATTCTGGTGAAAAACTAATGAAATATTAAAATGTTGCGACATTTTCCATAACCACATTGGTAGCCAGCCATTTTAACCTTTATTACAGCCCCGCGAGTGTGTTTGCCACTTAATTCACTTTACATATTCGTTATGTCTGTCATGTGTCGGAACATTTAACCGGAGCTGCTGCTGCTCGTCTGCTGCGCTACTGTTTCGGTTGTCGTTGCCAATTTTGGCCCATGAATGTTTGGTGTCTATTGAAAATGGTCTCGACATTCCTCATTCGGTTCGATATCAGAAAAACAATCGACATTTTGTTTTTATTCATAAACTTTTGTCGGAATATCTTATTGAAATACCAGCATCAAATTTTGGGTTTCACACTTTTCAGAGACGGACGGAAAAAGTTCGGAGAACTCCCACTGATTATCGATGGCTGAACATATCCATAGATGTGGATGGCAACATACGTACACACATAGCTAAATAAGAAAAACGGCTGACGAAGACGAACATTGCATCGATTGAATCCTGTCGATTGAACAATTTTCGGTTGTGGTTGGCTGTTGTTGTGTTTGTCGATTGATATTTGAATACATGATTTTGTACGCGACACAAGTTGTGTGAAAATTTTGTTGCGAAAATAAAATCAATAGGAACAAAAGTTTTGTCAGGGCTTGGTTTCATTTCGTTTTTTTTTTCAACATTCTTCAAGTGAAAAAAAAAACAAATTCCTTAAGCACGGACAACAGAGAGCGAGAAAGTGACAACATACAAAATGGGGAGGGAAAAATGCCAACATCAACAACGACTACGACAACGAGGAAAACGACACACCGTGAAAAAAAGAAGCGAAACATGGAACAACACACATCATCCCTAAGAAATAAAATCATATGGTTTTATAAGCAGGAAATTTGCTGCTAGTCCGAAAAATAGTTGCACTCTCATTTCGAACTCTGATTCTTGGTTTTGGGTGTGTGTGTGTTGGTTGGTTGAATGGGGAAAATTCAATGCAAAACTTTTTGATTGTTTACCTTAGCAATGATCGGGTTCATGAACATGAAACACACCGAGTGAAGATGAAACAACAAAAAAACAAACACAAATCCAACAGCGCACCGTACACAAGACTTAACTATGGAAATCAAACGCAATGATATTGTGTGTTGAAATCGGGGCGCCGTGAAATAGAGATTCCGAATATCCTCTGGTTTTTATTGTATCCTTCATGTTGCACTGCTGCTGCTGCTGCTGCTGCTGCTTTACTATTGTTGGTGTATATATTTTCGTCCAAACAAGATCTTGTTGTAATTTCATTTATTTTGTGTCAGCGAAGAAAAAAAAAACACCACACACACAAAACACTACACACTAAAAATGTTTTCCAACAAAGCGCACTTTTTGACTGTCGCAACAGCACCACAATTTTCATACAATGCACATGTGTTAAGAGGAGTTGGTTGTGTTGTTGTTGTTGTTGTTTTTTTCTCGTTTTGCTTTTGCTCTCTGTGCGGCGCGTTGCACAATATGTTTTTTTTATTCGTAAATTTCACTTCGTTTAAACTTAGCAGTGGATGGCGAGAGGAAAAAACACGTAACTAACACAAGCGATTGCAGTACACTGAATATTTGTGAACTAAACCCAAATTGTGAAAATGAAACACACAGCGCGCAACTGATTTTAGTTCGAGGATTTATTTTTGGTTGCAGCTTCATATATGTGTTCTTCGCTTCTCACTCTCTCTCTCTCTCTCTCTCTCTCTCTCTTTCTCTCTCTCTCTCTTCGGCTACTGCTGTTGTTGTTTTTTTTTCTGCTCTTCGATTTTCTACTTTCTTTCTTTCTTTCTCTCGCAAAGACACGCAGTTCTATTTCGTGTACAAAATGAATATAGTAGTAGAATCACAGACGCAAAATCGAGAAACACGCGCGACGAATGTTAAGAGGCCACTGAAAAACATGAAAACGGAGAATTATAAGAACGGCTACACATCAGCAGAGCAGCGTTCAGCCAGAGCATCATCAGCAGCAGCAGCTTTTTTCAATACAGTCACACACACACACACACACACACACATGCATATATACGTACGCATACATGCCCAGTGCAGGTTTTTGTCTCAACGAGCCTTGGATTTATTTAAACAAATATACATTTCTGTGGAATAATTCAGGCAGAAAGGGCGACATGGGTGGAGGATTTTTATTGCCTGATTTTTTACGAAATTAATCAAATCAGGCGAAAAAAAATTGATTTTTCGATGTTGATTTGAAATTGAAAATTTGGGAAGAAGAAAAACAAAATTTCGAAGCATTTGATTGAGGAACTCTCTATGTCCCTCTCTATCTTGGCACACATCAACAACAAATACGCAATTATCACATCTCTAGTGTGTGAAAAAGCATAGTCAGAACATTCACATCGTCTTTTATATTCGGTACGGCCAAAATGGGTACACATACACGATATCGGCATCGTCGCCTTCGTCGTCGTATCCCAACTCATTCGGATGGCTTATGAAAATGGATGCTCTCGTGTACGCGATTGCTCTCCGACCGTTGAGCGAGAGAGCGTTTGTCACTAGCGTGCTCTCCCTCACACTAAAAGCACGAGTGCTTCAAATCGCACACACACCATTGCACACAGGCCATCTCACCAAACAACCACATCGATATCGAACGACACTCGCATCCCGTTGCTACTATACCTTTTTGTTCGAGCTAACTCGCTCCCTCTTTCTAACTAGATCGAGACCACCACCAGCAGCATCAGCATCATCACATGAGTGTGTGTCTCGTTGATGTGAATCGAAATGAAACGGAACGCTTTTGTTCACTCCGAACGAACGACATTTTTTTTCCCTCCGAACACAAGCTAACAAAATAAATGGCTCATCGCATCTAGTGAGAAGAAAATTTGCCAACGTGAAAACTGTTCTATCGTAGGCAAAGCTCGCAGATTACGAGTGCAAGAGAGCGAGCGATATTTTCCCTTTTCGCTTCCCTGCCAAAACCTGTCCAATTCATGCTCTCTTTCGATCACAACATTCAACTCTACTCTTTGCGAATTCTTTTTTTGTCTGCCTTTGTTTGCCACTTTGCACGCACATTTTCTACCCGAAACATACAACCGTTTCAAGATTCGATGTACGAGCGCGATACAGAAAAAGGGACGTGGAAGAAAGCGTGCGCGTTCCCATCACGCACGGGCCAACTGTATACAGTCGAAGAAAATGAAAAAGCATAACAAGAAGCAGAAGCAGAAGACGGAGGAGAAAAAGAAAACAAAATTTTGTGGAAAAACTCAAGTTGCACCAACGAGACGACGATGAATACAAAGGCACGCATAACCAAAGTTTGCTTTTCTTTATCACATTTTTCTTCTTCGGCGTTGCCAATGCAAAGTATGTGTGCGAGCGTTACCGAGCTTTTTTTTCAATATCAAATTCAATGTCTATTGTGTGTATATGGTATCGAATAAATAGGCATACAACATTTCATGTCGACGTTGCATCGTCGTTATCACAGAATATATACACTTTTCACTCTCTCTCTCTCTCTCTCTCTCTCTTTCTCTCTCTCTCTCTCTCTCTCTCTCTCTCTCTCCCGCATTCTTGTTACTTTTATTTTGAAAATGATGCGACCGTATGGAAAAAAGGGCGTAGCATGCTGCGGCATTCTTTTGGCCTGAATTAAAATACATTTTACAATGAATCAAATTGAATATGAGCATCGGCATTTACACATTTCACCATTTCTCTTGCTTCTATTTTCTCAATTAAGGGTCTCATGCAGTGAAATTGTCGGTATTTGGCACCAACAATAATGCAACCGACTTCCATTCAAATGGCGCGTTCATGAATCCGAAACGAAATGTGTGTGTGTGTGTGTTTATTGTAGGAACAGTAAAATCGAAGGAATGATGGAAGTTTTGCTGCTTGAACGTGACAAATAATTTGTTTGACTTTATCGATGCCAATCAGCCGACTGGCAATTTAAAAAAAAAAACAGGATGAACCGAGCAAGAGCAAAAAAATCGAGCATGTGCAAATCAATGTTTAAATCGAATTTTTGTATTCTCAAATTTCAACTATGGTACTGCATTGGTCAGAGACTCTGACTCAGAGTTTTGATCATTGCCACGGGCCACATTCTGATATAATAAAAATGAAGTTGAAAAATAGATAAAATTCGTTTTGCTGCGTGTCTTCGAATCAAATTGGACGAATGAGCGGCAAAGATGCTTCGTCTACCTTGTGCTCAACTCCAACCGCTTTCCCAATCCGCTGCTCTTTCGCTCTTTTCCGCGCCTAAACGCATTTTTAAACCAACAATCCAAAAATTGTTGGTCAACCAAATGTGAGCACACCGCTGTTCCCATTTTATACTTGACACGGGCGAATCGTGACTCTTTGCAAGCGAACAAACCAGCGCCGCTCTCTCTCTCTCCCTCTCTCTTTCTTTTCGCACATTGATCAACATTTTCTCTAATTTATTCCATATTCTTTAAGTGATTGCTGTGCAAAACATCCAACGTACTCGATGCCAAAACATTGTGCGAATCTTGGTGTTTCGTGATTAAGTGGTTTCGTTCCATCGTTGTCGTCGTCGTCATCGTCGACGTCGGCACGAATACATACGGCCCGACGTACAAAACTTAAAATTAAATTTTCCATGCGTTTATTTGCTCTCCCTCGCTCACTCTTTCTCACACTCAATCGCTCCACTGTATGCGGAGTATGCCTTTTTAGTCGTTGGATAATATTAAATTTCAGTTGTGTTCCATGGCTTTAATTGACATTCCACAAAATGGTTTCAGTCGAATTCATATCTCTCACACGCAAAAATATCAATAACGAGATTGTGTTTAGGCAAACGACTGAACCGAGTAGAATAAAGTTTTCTTCTGTGGAGGGGGGGAAATAAGATTGGAGCCTATGGAAACGGCACGCAAAAGAAACGTTTTTATTAAATATATCATGGATAAATGAAAAGAAGAAAAAAAACGAAGAAAAAATGGGTTTATGCTTAACAAAAGATACGCAAGCGGCAACAAACCACCGTTACAACTAATACGAATGGGCGAAAGAGCAAGCGAGAGATATGATTTTTTCAGTGTGTGAGCCTGGCACAACATTCATTTAATTGAACATTTGAAAACGAGATGAGACTTCAAAATGGTTGGAAAATGAGCACCGTACTCGCAACAGAGTACCATCACTACTACCACCAGATAATATCGACGGGACGTGCAACGTTCGACACACAGTGCAAAACGGGAGTCAATGTGGAAAAAGAAGAGAACCAAAGTGTGTGAGAAAAGGAGAGAGAGAGAGAGAGAGAGAGAGATCGGGTGAGTGTGAGAGAAATAGAGTTCGAGCGACAGATCGAGAGCGAGAAATTATGATGGTTCAGCTACTCGGAGACGCACTACTTTCCCAAGTAAAAGAGAAGTTGAATCCTTATGCCTTTGTTTGTGTCTGCATGAAACACGTCTTTTTATTGCATGTTTTTATTTCGCTTTTGCACACGCTCTCCCTTCTACTCTCTCCGTTGTCGTTGTCGTTGTCATTGTCGTTGTCGTTGCTGTTGCCTTGCCTGAAACTAAACAAAAAATTCACCAGAAACTGACTACGTTACACAAACGGCTTTTGACTTCAACTTCTTCTTAGTTCGGCCCGGCGCGGCTCGGTCGCACGTTCGCACGCTCTCACTCTCGTTTTCGCTCTTTTCTTTTCTCTCTCCATCATCGTCCATTCACTTCGTCACATGGAATCAAACTCAACCGAAAACAGAATTTTTCGAACAAGAAATAATCCATAGAAAAAGCACCAACGAATAGGCGATTATGTGTGGTTGTGTTTGTGTATATATATGTGTGTGTGAGAGAGAGTGTCTTAGATAGATACTTTGATTTTGGCCGTCTAATGTAAAAGAAATTCTGTAGGTTTGGGTTATGCCAATGTAATGTAAAGCATCATGTATTCAGCATGGCATGCCGTTGTTTGGACTAGAGATTCGCTATTTTCTTATTCATGAATTGGCCGAGATCTTGCCTTCACGTCAGCCTCCATTTTTCTATTGCTACCCACTCCCCATGATCTCCTTTCTTCTTCTTCTCCACATCGTCTCTGCGCGTGAAAGCAAAAAGACATACCAAATAGATTTCACTCGCTCATTCTATCTATCTATGGTTTTTCGCATTTCTTCTACCACAGACGTATATAAAAATGTCTTTTTTTTATGCGAACTGTGTTGCGTTCTGTCGTTTGCACAACTTCTTATTCGTATGCAAGCAGCAACAGCGGAAAAAAACGAAGCAAAATATTTTCGCTTTCTAAACAAAAATCTACATACTCATGCCAAATTAGGCATTTTTGAAAACATGCTTTTTTTCGGCTGCGTTTTTCTCTTCAGTTCCTCGTTTTTCCTCCATATGTGTATTTTACCTAGAATTTTTGGTTGTTGCTCCCTTCCTTCACCTTGTTTATACAATGTTTCTCACATTTTACGCACATTTCCATGTATGGATACACACATTTATTTTATTGGTTTTTCTCCTCTTCATCTTCTTCTTCTTTTTCCCTCGTCGACTTCTTTTTTATTATTATTGACGAATGACACACAGTCACTTGAACGTTTTCAGTTTCCTCTGCAATTCTTTTTCGTATTCTTATGACGTAAATAATTCAATTTTAACTTCGACTGACATGTATGCGGCCACAATTTTTGAGCGTTCACATACTACGGGCAAATCCTCTGGGCAAATGCAGTTTTTTTTCTATCGACAAAATTCAGTTATGCAAAGCAAATTGCGCAAAGCACACACACACACACACACACAAACATACACGAAATTCAATTCGTTTTACCAGCCAGCATTTTGTCAGAAAACCGATTTTCTTCTTTAACTGCCGAAGATTAATTGACCGCA